GAATATGCACAGTTAAATTGCAGCAATTTGGAGAAGGGATAACAAGAAACCACTAAAACTAAATGGAAAGATTGCTGAATTGGGATTATATGCAATTATACAAGCACATTTATACATTTACGAATACACTATATACATACCACTCTGTTGAGAAGTCCCTCATTGTGACGCCGGCGTTGAAAATGCGAACGTTGCAAGCTTGTGGCATAGCGAAAATCCATTTTTGCTCGAAACTATTTCGAAAAACACTATAGAAAATTAAAGTAGTGGCAGGCCATAAAAAATAGGCGGTAGGCGTCGGTCGCTTGGGTTAGTGTAGAGTGAAATGGGCAACATTTTACTAAATGCAAGTGGATCGCATATCTGCATGCAATCTTCAAATCGCTTGCCACACCACACAGTGCAACAGGGCGCATAACGGCATATGAACATATACTCTCACATGGATATATACGCGCCGGCGACATACCAGCATATGAAATTTCCATTTTCAACGCGATTTTCTTAATGAATTTTTGCTGCGGCTGACGCTGCTGCTACTATGTGAATAGGAGTATATGTGTGGGTGTGTGCTAGGTAACTATAACTAACAACATGCCTCCATTATGCTATCTCTCTCTTCACTTGCATATCCCGTGAAAGTTCCACACATACACACACATCTCTGAATATTCTCTTGCGGCAACATTGAATGCCCTGCCGTGCCCTGCTATGCTATGCCGCGTTGCCATTTAAATTGAAATTGAAATGAAATCAAATTTTAGCGGTTACTTTGGTAGGCGAGCTGGGGGCGTTGTGAAAGTAGGTATATAGAAGGAAGGTGGCAAAGGTTAGCATGTTACTCTTAGTTGGCGGCAAGGTAGCAGCGAGTGGAGGGCAGTAACCGTATAAGTGCAAGAAAAAGCACTAAAACTCAGAGAGGCAGTTATGCATATACATACATATATATAAACTTTTACCAACAAAAATTCATATATTCAAATACATACTTATATAGATTTGTGAATACGTATCCGTGTATTTGTGTGTATGTGTGTTAGCTGCTGTGCAAATTGCAAATTGCTTTTGACATATTTTGACAAGATTTTGATTAAGCCAGGTTGCAAGCAAATGCTTGTGTTTGTTGCTGTTGTTGTTGGGAAATCATGCTCTAGCAATTTTGTGCTGCTTGCAAAATAAATCTTATTTATTTATTATTTACAGTTTATTTATTTTCCAATTTAGTTAAAGTGAAATAATTATGATAGCGATCTTGAAAATGAAAGAATGCTCAACATTTGGAATGAAACAGAAGTGAAGTTCCTCACTAGATTTCTTCTCACTTAACTAATTTAATTTTTGTGTTTGGTATTTTTTTAGAAGCAAGTCGTTCTAGCTAAAGCTACTGATAAGTAAATGTTTGATTTGTGCCCAGGGCCCGATGGACGAAAAGAACGATTTGGTCCAAGATGCCTTTTATAAGCATCTGAAGCGTACTCATAAGCACTGCCTCTGACACAATGTGAAAATCGAGTGTGACGATTTGAATACCAGGGTGAACAGAGAAGGTATCTTCGGCTGAACTGTTGGAAAATTCAGCCTTCCCGACGAAACAGTCCTTTATGGCTTGAGGTTGACTGACTTCGTCTGGGCCAGAAGTATAGTTGTCTGTAGTATTTGATTCCAGCAAAAAAAAACTTCACATAGCTGCTTAACTATCCCTTGATCGATCGAAAAATACAAAACCATATCCATTATGTTGTTCCTGACGTGTTTACACTCATCAATTCGTTATAAATGAACTGTGGGATGGAATTTCAAACCGCCTTTGTACAGCTGCGAATGAGGGATTTCCAAAAGATCGTAAAAAGAGTTTGTGCAATGAGGACTTCCCTTTCGTTGTGGAGAGAAAGCAACGTTGCGTTCGGCCACAACACATGTGGGGTGGGGTAATACGGGGCAGAGAGACGTGTGAGTATGAAGAGCTTTGAAAGTTGGCCGGCAAGAGTAAGTTGTGCTTTCTACAGACGGGATAAGGAAGCCAAATATGTGTGCTTGATGTGAACGAGGACAAGATGAAATATCTCCTGTCATCAAACAAATAGTCATCTTTTTCGCGACTTGGCCTCCAGCTCACTGTTGACCGTCATAAATTTGAAGTCGTAGATAATTTCGTCTACCTAGCAACCAGCATAAACACTATAATAACGTCCACCTTGATATCCAATGCAGAATCACTCTTGCCAACAGGTGCTTCTTTGGACTGAGTAGGCAATTGAAAGGTAAAGTCTTCTCCGACGAACGAAAACCAACTCTCCATGTCCCTCATCGTTCCCGTCCTGCTATATGGTGCAGAAGCATGGACGATGATAATGTCAGATTCGTCGGCGTTGGGAGTTTTCGAGAGAAATGTTTTGCGTAGGATTAACGGTTCCCTACGAGTTGGTAGCGGCGACTGTACTGAAATTCAGTACCCGCCTTTAAAGAAGAGGAGTTGGAAGACTTTCACTCCTTGGAAGTACAAAGTGGAAAAGGACCAGGCTGAATTTGGAACCTCCAATTGGCGCCAGGCAGGGAAAAAAGATATGAATGCATAACTTTTTAAATTCGGCAATAATCGCGTAAGCGGTGCCTACGTCAGTAAAGAAGAAAAAGAATATGGATGATTCGAAAGCGATTTTCGGTTAATCCTCTCATCTAGTTTTTAAAGGTCATCTTAATGCTTTCCTACAATGGCCTACAGTTTATTCTAAGTCACCTTTGAGCTGCCTATAGAGTTTTATAAGGAGCTTTTATTTCATGCGGTAAATGCCCTTGGAGAGCTGCACATTCCCTGCTGTGGGGCGTATATAATTGGAAAAATTATTTTAATTTTTTATTTTTTATTAAAACTGATTTTCCACCTTAATGAAATTACTTCAAAAAAGATTAGAAATTGAAATAACCAGAGTAGGAAAGATGAAATTTCAAATGCTCGGTTTTTGCAAAGAAGTAATCATAATTTATTACCAATAGAATGTAATTGTAGAGCTTTTTAATACTCTATTAAGCTGCACTATCCAACGGCTTTATGTCGAATGAAATTTTAAGTAGAAAGTTGCCCTTTGGAAGGCCACAAATTTTGCATATGAAAGCCCACCAATATTGAGCTTTTGCAGTTCACTACACGGAATGAATACTAAAACTCATATATGTGGGTAATAGCATTCGAAATATCTGTGAATATATGTATTGACTTCACTCCATGTATATGCTTCTGATATAGCTCAAATAAATCTGTGAATTTTCGGACATCAACGGATTAGTTAGTAATAAATTTGCATTTACAAAAATCCCAAATCACTTTTCAAACAAAGAGGGCCATTCACCAAACAGCGAACGAGCTAGCCAGCTAACTACTAACTTTGTTGCTATATATATGCACCTATATTCACCTACAGTTTTAGCTATTCAAATAAATTTTATGTAAGAGCTCATATGCACATATGAAACATATAAATACATATATATATTTTAATATATATGAATATATTTAATTATAGGTAGTTGACTTTTACAGACAGAATAATTCACGTCGCGCTTTGAGCAAACTAAAACGATTGTCATGCCGAATGAGTTGAAAGGCGGATTAAAAACAAAGCTACTTTTATGTATATGTCTGACCGTCTGTAGGGTTTTGTGTTTGAAGAAAAAAAAAACAAAGAAGAAATAAAACAAAATGAAAGTCAATGACAGCGTTTTGGCGATTTGACCACAACCAGCAAAATCTGCGGTTCACAATTTACATATATATTTATTTATATATGAATATGTGGATAAGTAAAATCATTTTATTGATATATAAGTAACTTTTTGTATGCCGACTTCGAATGCTTTTTATACATATTTTTTCAACTTTTTATATTTTAACCATTTTTTTTATCTGCTTTTTGTTTACATTTTTTAATTTTTCTACGTTTTTATTTTTATTTTGTTTTGATTGCTTCAAAGTCGCAACTTGTCATTGTTGTGGAAAATCAAATACTGAAAGTGATTTTTTTAAAACTCAGCAAAATGTCAACTAAAATTATAGTACAAAACTATTATTTTTATATTGTTTAATTAATCTAAAGTTTAGTTTTAAAACACATGTGTATTTTTCTACTGTTAGCATCTGATTTCCTCTATATTTCTTTGGTAAAACCCGAAAGGTAAGCTATGTTTATCGATCCCTCATTCTTTATTTCATTTTTCCCCTTCGAAAACTTCACATCGCTAAAATTCCCTCCCATGTCACAAACCGTATATTTTTTATTTAATTTTTAAGAGAATATCTAAAAATAATCGGCTTAAAGCCAGCTTGCATTCGTAGTTCCGAAAAATGATTTACTTCACTTAAACCATGAAAAAATAGAAAAAAATGTATTCCTATAATTTTTTAAATTTATTCCATTTTATATGTGCATATTTGTCTTAGAAATATCTGTCTGCATCAACGTCTGTCAACAAAAAATTTCACAGGTCGAAAAAAAATTTGCCAAAAAAAAAAAATATTTGCACATAAAAATGTCTAGCAAAAAAAAAAAAAAACTTAGACAACTGCAATCTCCCACCATATCTTTTACTCAAGCCTAAGCTCAAACTATATATTCTTCTTGCACTCGCCAACGCACAGCCATTACTATCATACTTATAACGGTAAGGCAGTTGACATTATACAAATATAAGCGGCAGAAAACAAGCGAAGCGGCAGCGTCGTATATTTGCCAAGTGCGCCGGAAAGTAAAAATTTGTCCTACAGCCAGCTGAAATGTTGAGCATTAAACACTACGATAATTCTTTCGCTCTCTTTTTGGTTTTTTTTGCTATTTACTAGTTTTCCGCTACCTTCCTTCTTTGATAGCCTTAAGCGCCGAAACTTTCGTAAGCAAATTTTATGCAATTTTTTCTTAACACAAAACTTTTTAAACAGATTTTAAAAATACTTTTATTTTTCTGTAAATAAAATTTGTTAAATATTATTAATATTCTTCTCTTTTCAGGTGCTGTTTGTTGTTGTTACTGTAGTCAGCATAGTTTTTTCGCCTGTGCACATTAGTGAAGAAAAGGATAAGCGCGCGCTTGAAGTGACCGTTGCGCTGCGTGACAGCTGTGCATGAGTTGAAATTGAGCTGAAAATTTTTTTTGCATTAATTTTTATATGCGAAATAGTGTAATTAAAAAAAGTTTGTCTACTTTATACTTATAATAGTTTTAGGGTGTAACACACACGGGTATTTAAATACGGTTTCGGTAACGCGTTTAATAACATAACGGTGATTCGCGCTAAAATTCGGTTAAACTATACCAAAAATTCTAATAATAAATCGTGGAATTTGTGTAATTTTTGAGAATTTATTGAATAAAATCAACAGACGACCAAATGTTGGCCTTTCATAACGAGCACATAGCAAGTGAGTATGCCAATTGTTGTTTTTAGTATTAAGTGAAATTTAAATGGAGAAGCTCTTCATAAAACGCAGTGGGCCAGAATGTATGAAAAAAGGTTTTAATAATAATTTTTTTACTTCTGTTGAGTAAATAATTTTACTTAAAAATCCTGAGCTGAAATTGTTACTCATACGCAGTGGCCTAATTATAAAAATGCTTCTATTTATTGCTTTTATTTACATATTTCAATGTTATAGATTTGACCATAACAAGATAAATTTATGAAGAGTATTTATGGAATTTTTATTTGTTTTATTGGAATTTGTACAGGAAAATGATTTTTTTTTACCCATGACAAAAATTTGCAATATCATTTTGTAGTATTCTCCATATTTGTGACTTTTGACATTCGGCCAAAGTGTGGTAGCGCACGTAGTCGATAGTGCCCTCTCAGCGACGGGTTTCAAAATGCTCCACAAATAATTTAAAAATGGAGCGTGGAAAGCGCCATAAAACGCGATCAGCCCTTTGGAGGCAGCAAAGCATATTACAAATCGTTGGGGAAGTTCGGTCGAAAATCGCTTTAGCGGTTACGAGCGCCAGTTATATATATATATATATATATATATATATATATATATATATGTACTTGTCTTAAAAGTATTCTAGTAGAACTTTCGTGACAAGACATTTTGGAAATTTTTGAATTTTCATTCCATCGGTATTCCGTTCTTGGTTTTTTTTATACAACTTCAGAAAAGGGGATTGAAAGGAGCATTTTATGTGAGATCTCGCAAGTTGGTTACTACTATATTGTTTCGAGAAACTCGTTTATAAGAATATTAATCAAGTCAGTGCCAATTTTTTTACAAAAAGCTATTTCTCCCAAAAACAATAAAAATCAACTGAAATTGCCTGCCTGCTGTCACGTTATTTAATTCCATAACACCACAAGCGTCTGAAAACCACAATAAATTATAAAATTGAAATGAACACATTTTTACGGAAATATTTGTGTCTGCTGCTGAACCTCCCGATAACCGAAAGCCAAATTGTCAATTTTTGTAAATTTGTTAAGTTCTTCTCAGCGTCAAGCCTTGACTAGTCGAACTTGTGCCAAATGCTGTCAGAATCAATTGTGCCAAAGCAATGGAATACAAAACCGGCTGCCGGAGTTGTTTTTAGGCTTTAGCATGAGCATAAAGAATTATTTTGGCTAAGCACCAAAAGCGGTTGAGAACAAAGGTAAACACACTTAGGGGGCTATATATATATCTATGGGTGCATTTATATATGTATTTAGTAAAAACTAGTAAGCCAGTTTTGGAGGAGTGAAATTATAAAAGCAAATTTGAAATAAAATAGCAACACCAATGGCTTCTAAGGGAGTGATGAAAGAGTGTTAGGAAATAAAGTAAAAACAAAATAAACAGGAAGACAACCAAAAGTAAATGCTTGCAGAAAGAAATGTAAATTGCATATCAAAATGTGGTTATGCCGCCACAAATATTCGCACACACAAGCATACATGCAGCAGCGGCATGCCCTAACATAAGCACATATGAGCAAGCAATTATATATGCACATACGCAAATACATATATCTCACCATGTTTGGTGAGTGTGGCAAATGAAATTGAAATTGGCATTGCCAATAGTAGTCACACATACACGCATACACATATGCACATGGAAATACGTATACCCACTAGTTAACCAACTTGTGAAACAAAAGCACGAATAGAGTTGATTGCCGACACACCTGCAACAAAACATAAAAGTGAAGCATAGAAATATTTCGAGACAAAAAGTAAAAATTGAATTGCCTAAATATTTGCTACTGCATGTGTGCGCATATGTGTTTGTCTGCGCATAGTGTGCCTATATTTTTGACTAAAGCTGTAGACAAAAAACGCCTACCCGAAAAACAGTTTTTGACTTTTGCTTGCACTTTTCAGCGCCAAATGATTTCGGCTTTTCGTTGTTGTTGTTGTTGCTGTTATATTTTTTGGTTTTGTTGGTGGTGCTTTTGCCTGACTTGAATTCGTTGTGAAACCGTAAATGACGACCCATTAAAATTCAAAGTAAACCAAACTAAAGCAAACTAAATATTGGGGGCTGCAGCCAAGGCAAACGAAATTGCCTAGAAATAAAAAGGAAAATAACAAAATTTAGTACAAAAGTCAAATTGAATAGTGAAAAGGGCGTATTTGAAAAATTATAAAAAAAAAGAAAAAAATTTGGATAGACATAGAGATGCAGACATAAGTACTGATATGTTTATCTCTTTGTAGGTAAGGATTTATGTTAGAAAATATATATGTGTAAGCCTGCTAAGAGATTTAATTGCATACACCTTGAAAAATTTCTCTTTTGGTCGATTTGTGGCGAAGTTAATTTCAAACTCAGCTAAAATTGTTTCCATATTTCGAAAACTGGCGAGAAGTTTTTTGAAAATATACACGAAAACCCAAACTATTTTCCTATACAAGATTCAGGCAGCTTATTTGATAACTTGGAAATGTCTTCGGGGTACATAGATCATAAAGTCGCCTTCCTATTGGTTTTTCGCTAAGAGGTCAGGTGAAGCGAAAGAGTGAATAGACAGTATGCTACTTGAGATAAAGTTTTGGCAATTCGACCATGGAAAAATATTTGGTTTTTCTAGACAAAGATTTCAGATATTCCTAGAATTTCCTGGACCCAAACTCTGTTCAAACTGAACGTTTTTTCGACTTTGATAAACTTCCGGCAGGGAATTACAACTCTTACCGCTGAATTAATTAAATTAGTAATTTTCCCTCTACAATGCAGCCTCAAGCGATCTCAGTTCCTCAATGTTTTTTGATTTTCAAAGCATTTTACCTTAAACTTCTAGGAAACCTCTGTTGCCAAATTTTTCCTACCTACCCATCTGGCGGTTTATCAAAATTCAATTTCCGCCTGCAAGGTAAAGTAACGGGTCAACACGAAGCAATAACCGACAGTTAAAGCATGCAAAATTAAATATGCAGGTGTATACACCCATACATATGTGTAGAGGAATGTGCTTCCCAGCCTAAAACAATATTATCAGTGTCATCATTACATGCAAAACAATTGTAATATGCCGCTAACAGACTTCCAAAGGTTCAAAAACAGCAAAACCAACAATAACAATAACAGTAAATGAACCAGCTCAGAGCAAATGATACCTCTAAGCAGAGGGCGTGAGGGAGAGAGAGTGAGATATAGAGTACTAGCTGAAGGCAAAACAAATGCTTAATAGTTGAAAATTACGTTGGAAATTTTAAAAGCACGAAAGCTAAATAAATATACCCTCCCTGCCCACTTTTCAATCTCCTTCGCTTATTTTCCCTCCGCTTATAGTCGAATTCAAGTGGGCAATAGAATAAAGTTATTTTGAAAATATTCAGAAAGGCAGCAAATGCTTTTGACTTCTCTTGGTTGAGTCATTGTTTGCCACTTGTATATGTAAATGCAAAAACAAACATACAAACTATCACATATTTAGTAATACATACACATGTATGCATACAAATGTGCTTGAGTTGCTTTGTACTTGTGTGTGTTGAAATTGTAGTAGTCTGCTGCTCAGATGGGCTGCCAATTGCTGGCACTACACCTTGCAACCTCCTATTTGTTGGCCTTTGAACCAGACGCTTATGGCCTTCTCTACTCCTTCTATCCCTCTTTGCTGCATAAGCGTTTTTTGCCAAAAAGCTAATGGCTCTGAAGTGACGAAGAGAATGAAAGCAAGCAAAAGAGGCGAAAGGTTGGGTAAAAAATAAAAAAAAAATCTGCAAAAATCTGAGTAAGGGCTGAAAGGCTTGAAATTTTGAAATTCAATTTTCCGCCTACACGCCCATACAGCTGTGGCACAAAAGAATTGAAACCAAAAAAAAAAAGAAGAGAAATGGAGCACCTAAACTTAGTGGGCTTTTGTAGACAATGAAGTTTGGCTTAAAAATATTGTGCATATTTTTGTTGTTTTTTTTGTTTTTTTTTGTCTTCTATTACATACAGTTTTTCTTGGCATGCTTATGAAAAATGCAATTGAAATATTTTAACAGATTTTTTTAGTGGTAATTTGAAGAACTGCTAAGTGTAGATGAGTTAAGCTGCTTGCCACGGCATTGCGGTTGTGTGATGGGAGGTATAAAAATGAGATGATTTCTGAGAATAGTTTAATAGTTATCGATCCTCAATGTTATGATGAAAAATTGAGGTAAATTAAAATTATTTGCACTTGCTCGGAGATTTAGTACGCTCAACACTGCGTATACGTAATTTAATTAGTAAAATATAACTCTGTTTTAATACCTTTAATATTGAAGAATTAAAAATAAATATTAATTGATATTATTTGTTAAATTTTATTTTTTAATTTTGTTCATAGAGTTCAATAAGATTTTTGTATTCTATAAAAATAGTGACAAAATTATTAAGTGAAAAAATTAATAGAGTTCATTTATTATAATTTTTCAATGTCTATAAACTTAGTTGCTATTCTAATAATATTCTTTTTAGTGAAAAATAATTTTATCTATTCTCACAACTCCACTGCTCAACATACTATTTCTTTAATATTTTCTTTTCTGTTTACTTTCTCCACTTTGCACGTAAAATATTAAAATATAACTACAATAAGCTGTTTTTATTCACTCTGCATCTTTGTTAAAGCCTCTCGCCTCATTTTCAGTTCTTTGGAGAGAATTAGAAAACGTTTAAATATTTCTTAATATTTTATGAGCAGCACTTAAGTGTTTTGTGTTGAAGTTGCCACAAAAGCGCTGAAAGAGTTGATGTTTGCAAAGCGAATTTTGCATGCGAGATGTTTGTGTGTGTGTATGTGTGTGTGTGTTTGGTATATGAAGAAATATGCTTAAGCACATGTATGTTTTAGTAATATTTTTTTTTTCGTCCTTATGTTAAGCTAAAAAAAGACCTAAATTTTTACATAAACCCATTTGTTTAATAAAAAATTTTTATTATTTCGTTACGGTTTGTTCCAATCCTTAAAT